TTATTCAGTAAAGAAACATAAATTTATGCTTAGTTTCTGCTTGTGGGTCTCGAATACACTATTTCTTGTTGTCATATGTGGATGGTAAATGTAGCTAACTTCGTGTAACGAACTTGAATTAGGTATGGCATAGAACAAGAGTACACATTACTCCAAACTAATGTCAAATGGCCACTCGGATGGCCCACTGGAGGTTACCCTGGACCTCAGGTATTAATTTTCTGTTCAAGCTTTTTCTCCCGAGTTTTTTTTTTTCCTGTTCTTTTTTAGCTACCATATATAATACTTGGTGAACTTTTAGGGCCCTTATTACTGTGGTGCGGGAGCAGACAAGTCGTTTGGGAGAGATATATCAGATGCTCACTACAAAGCTTGCTTATATGCTGGCATCAATATTAGCGGTACAAATGGAGAGGTTATGCCTGGCCAGGTATAATTGCTTGAGTCTTTTGTGCAAACATGAAAGTCGGTTTTTTAGCTGGAAAAATGAAGGTATTGACTTGATTGAGCAAATTTGCAGTGGGAATATCAAGTTGGTCCAAGTGTTGGAATTGAAGCTGGTGATCACATCTGGTGTTCAAGGTACCTTCTTGAGGTATGCCATTTCTTGTTTATTTATTTATTTAGTTTATATAGAATATGAATCATGCAAACACATTTTGTATATAAAATATGCTTAGATGATTATAACCTTCTTTAGTCCATATATTGATGACTGAAGCGGAAAATGAAATGAGATATGACAGTAACTTCATTAATATGTATATCATATTATTTTAGTTTAAAATTTTCATGATTTTCGTCTAGAGTATTCAATAAATTATTAATTAACTTTCTTTCCTTTTTTCTTTTAATTTTTCTTTGTAAATTTCAAAAACTATAGTTGTGAATATCTTGATCTCTCTTGTTAGCATGTTTGTTATATCCTTGATGTTTAGAATAGTTGTTCACTCTTTTTTTTTTTTTTATATTCTTTTTAATTCCATTTGACCTTAAAATTTTCAAATATGTGAACAAATTTTTTAAATATTATTTCATGTAATTTTTTTGTATATTTATTTTTGTATTTATTACTTTATCCTTTGTAAATAAATAGTACCTTTATAAATAGTCTATCTGCTATATTGTTGTGTGTGCATATCTCTATATTTCATTCCATATCTGTCTCACAGAGAATTACAGAACAAGCTGGAGTTGTACTCTCTCTTGATCCAAAACCAATAGAGGTATTCAGATTTTTGACTTCTTTATTTTTTCATTTTCGATAAATTGGCCCTTGTTCCTACCGTTCCGGAAAAAAAAAGATAAATTGGCCCTTGTTTGTGGAAAAGTAAAAGTATGAAATATATAATTTCTCCTTCATGGATTTATCTCAGGGTGACTGGAATGGTGCTGGATGTCATACCAACTACAGGTATTTGTAAGCTAAAAAGTTCACACGAGTGGAAAAACATTTACATGTCTGTTGGATTTTTTTAAAACTGATAACTGATCACTAATATATAAAAGTTACTCTGTTTTACAGCACCAAGAGCATGAGAGAAGAAGGTGGATTTGAAGTAATAAAGAAAGCAATTCTAAACCTTTCTCTTCGCCACAAAGAGCACATCAGTGCTTATGGGGAAGGAAATGAAAGAAGGTTGACTGGAAAGCATGAAACTGCTAGCATTCACAAGTTTTCCTGGGTAAACTCAACGATTACTTGAAAATAAAATATATAATAATTATAACAAAGTAATTCTTTTGAATTTTATCACTTGGCCGTAAATTCGTCACAGGGTGTTGCTAACCGTGGTTGCTCAATCCGGGTGGGACGTGACACTGAGAAAACTGGCAAAGGTACAAAAAGATTAACACATTTTCACTCAGTGAATTTAAATTTATCACCTTTTTTCTTTCCCAAAAAAAAAGAAAAGCATAGCAATCCCAGTATAATGCTGTGAAAATGGTGTCATTTCTTTTTCTTTTTTTCCCATCATTAGGTTATTTGGAAGACAGGCGCCCGGCTTCTAACATGGATCCTTATGTGGTGACTTCATTACTTGCCGAAACTACAATCTTGTGGGAGCCCACACTCGAAGCTGAGGCCCTTGCAGCCCAGAAGCTATCTTTGAATGTCTAAACGAACCATCAGTGTTCAAATTTGTGCTAGTACTTGAGCTCAGATTTAGAAATTATTGTTGATGTTTTTACTGTTAGATCACCTTTTGAGATTCTGCTTTGAAAATAAGGGACTAACATGAGCTTTCATCCACTTTATGCTCATTTTGCCCCTCTAAAGTTTCATTGTTGCAGTTGGCATTCATGGATACCTTGAACAATTGTAAGCCATTTTATTTTTCCATTCATTTATGCATTTTTAGCATCTTTTATGAATGAGAAATTAGTTTTTATTAATGAGCTTTGTTTTCGGCATGGATGAAGCAGCTGATCTATGTGAAATTTGATCAAGCTATGTCAAATATGTGTGGAAACAAATTAGATTCCTATTAGTCTTGAGTCGATGCTAAAAGATTACAAAACCATAAAAAGAAAAATGGAAAGGAAAAGAAGAAACAAAAACAGAAAAATGGATGGGATTGTTTTGTATTTGGTTAAATAGGTTTGGGGTTCAATCGTATCAATTGGTAACACGTTATTCATGAAATGGCTTGAAAATGATACTCCATTAACTTTGTCTTTTAATAAACCCTGGACGAACTTAATGTTATTTATTTTCATTTTTGAAACCATTAAAAAAAGCCGTTTTTAATAAAATAAATTGATTTTCATGAGCATTTGTCAGTTTATATATTTACTTTTATAAATAACATAATAATGTTGGATTTCCTTTGAAAATCACTACAAGAATGTGATGAAATGCTAATAGAAAATTCCAACGAAAATATATTCCAATGAAATTCTACGGCAATTCCAATGGGAATTCCAATGCTATTATTTCCGTTGAAATTTTTCAATGGATTCCAACGGAAATTGCAACAAAAATATTCCGTTGGAATGAGTTTTCTATTGGAATTTTCATTGGATTTTGACGATTCCAACGGTTGAAATATGGGCGAAAATAAAAATTCCAAATGTATATTCCAACGGTAAAAAACCGTTGGAATAATGGCCGTTAGAATGATAAAATTCTATCTAAATTCCAATGGAAAACTCATTCCAACGGAATAATTCCATTGGAATTTTCATAAGAATTATTCTAACGAAAGCTATACCATTGGAATATCTATTGGAATTTCCATTGCAATGTATTATAGCAGAATTTTGTCATTAGAATACAACACTTTTGTTGTAGTGAATGATACATAATTGTTTGGACATGCATCTGGCGAACGCATAAACACATGTGATTAACTTTGACTTCATTTGGGGAAAAACGACATTACAGAAAGAACGACATTATAACTTTGACATCATTTGGGGAAAAATGACATTGCAGCTCAGGTAGTAACACATACTAAGGGGTGAATTCTATTACAAACTGAGTGTTCCTAGTTGCAATAGGAAATATATCGACTGAATAGTATGTTTCAGTTCTTACTACTTAAGCTAAAAACGGAAATCACAATAAAACTGAAAGCGGGAAGAGTATGGTTGAGGTGAGAATATCTTTTTCCGAAAGACAAATACACGCCGTGTAGTGCTGATGGTTGTGTGCATCTTGTCCCCAAAGATCCAATGATCATCTCTAAAGTTGTAGCAGACCAGACTTCGGAGTTCCAACGAACTAGAATAGAGCCGTGAATTGGGCATTATATGTGTGATGCGTGAGACTTTTTGGTAGAGTGTGAGGATGCAGATGTATATCTTATTTTTTCAAACTTATTCCCCAGAAAACACGAACAATGGACTTGATCCCTAGACCTACAATGAAGCACTCTGAAACAAGGATACAAATTCTTGGCAAAAAACGATGAAACCTGAGATAAAACAATAGACTAAATCATGTATGAGATATTGCAAACCAACAAAAGGTAAGAAAGACATAAGGTTAAAATGGATCTACAAGCGAAAGAGCGGATGAGACATAGGGTGAATACCTTTAAGGAGAGGTTTGTTGTGAACAGGGTATACACAGAAAGGATATAACTTTTCTTGTTATTGACATTAAAGATAATATAGTGCTACATCGTTGAACATAAGATTATATTATCAGTTTCTTGTACAATATAAATAAGGTTCATAATCAAGATTGAAATTGACAAAACTATTGGTATGTGTAGTATAATTTGAGTCAGTTTATTTTAACTAATAAAGAATGCTAGTACACTTTGTGTGTATCTAATAGAACCACATAGAATAAGTTTATTTTATACTAACCCGATAAAAAACTATACCTCAAGTTATCATTCATATTATAAACCGTAAATAAACAATACCTCAAGATACATCAAGATATACATATACCATGTAGACTCTATATATATTTCTGTAATTTATCAAATGGTGAGACTTATTCGTTAAATCAAGAAGCACGGTGAGTTGGGGAGTAATATTGTGTATATGGTTGTTCGCTAATTATTTTCGCCATCAGCAAGTGTACGACGTAGCAATAGGTAGTGGCGAACAATGTCGTATTCCATATAGATTGTAGTTAAATTAATTAAATACTAAAATAATAACGATTAAATATTATCTAGAATAATGACTTGGATGATGATTATAAACTAAGAAATTAATTTACCTAATAACATTAGGAAAGATTTAAGAGAAAATTACCTAGCACACTATTAAATCATAATTTATCACATATTTACACTTCATATATATTTATCAGAAAAATAACTAAATCTGCCCTAGTTATTTGCATAAATACCATAATTTAAGTTTAAGCAGATTTATATTTAATAAAAGAAGGTGGCGGATTTAATAGTGATTTATACCAAAATTGATTTCTTATTATTATGAAAATAACTACCCCCAAATCATGAGGTGGATTTCCTTGTTGTATTGAATTGGTGAGCTCAGCTTTTGCTAAACGTTTCAATTATGGTCGTCAGCTCGTAGGGCAAAGGCCTCGACCTGGACAAAGGGACCGCACGGTTTGGGTGGATGACGGGAGGCTAGGGGTTGCTGACCTCGGGAAGAGGGCCCATGCAAGAAGCTCCTCTCCCCAAAAGTCTCCCAGGCGGAGAGTAATGGAGTTTAAGAATCTAATCGACTGTCGTTGGTGGTGGAGCTTTCGAGTCGGACATGTGGTGGCTTCTTTTTTCGATCACTGTGGTTGTTTTTTGAAATGACAACGATGGACTCCGGCGGCTGTGCGTTCCTCCCCTCCTCCTCTCCAGCTGGGAGGTCAAGTTGGAGATGACGAAGGCAAGGCCTGAAGCTCGGGCTCGTGGAGATGTCGACAGTATATGTTGCGTGTATAAAAAGTATATTTTCAATATTCCTTTTCGTCAACACAATCTCAGTGATGCTACTACAGTTTGCTTTTGAGCAGCAGCGACATACGGATACTTTTGATAGATTCTATTTCATTGTTTATTTGATGTTCATCATAATTTATGTTTGTAATATTTGAAGATTTCAGAATATGTTTCATGTTTATTTCATAGTTTTTTTATCAAATTAAGCCACCTTATGCAGCCCTAGCCAATGGGACACCCGATCCCGTAGTAGCCCGCCACCCGCCAGCTTGTTCATGCACACCTCTCTAGTGGGCCTCTAAACTTGGAGCCAAAACCCACATCAGTGGACGATGCAGCCCTTGGGCCTTGGACCATTTTGACGGTTCTTGTGCGAGGTACTCGTACGAAAATAAGTTTCGTCAGTAACTAGTGCGTGTTACGATTGTATTATTAATTAAATATATAAATAACATTAATCATGATTTATCTATTGTTTTTAAATTAAACCGGGTTGGTCACAGTCCAACCGGATGATCCGAGAACCGGTTTATAACCAGTCTAGTTCGCTTAAATAAAATATTTGCTCTCGAATTCGTCAATATGAGTCGGTTGGACTAGTAAGATCGATACGATTTTCTAAATAAATTTTGTTATATTTAAATTTATTTTAAATAAAATTTCATATTTAAATAAAATAGAGATTTATAAATTATTTATCAATTAGTTTAAACATTTGAATTTATAAATTGTTTGGATATCTAAGTAACACATTTTATTTAAATTTATTACAAAAAAGTACTATATATATATATATTAAAATGTTTATAAATTAAAATATGAACAAACCACAAATGATTTAATAAAATAGCTTGATCGTTTCGATGACGGTCCAGTTCTGCAAACCTTTAAATAAAATATTATTTAATTCACATAAATATTAATAAAATGATACATAAATATTCATAAATCATTAAAAATGTTGTCATAAAAGCATTGTTAATACGATTATTTGAAGTATGTACTACATCACATTCACCTAATAAAATATTTTCAATATAAAATATATATTTTGGTTCAATAATCGATTTAGTGTGGTCGAACTGATACATAACTTAGTCACCTGGTTTGTGTCAAGTTTTTTTTGACTATTTTAAATATCATGTAAAAGTAATTCAATCAACCTGGGCACTACCCTAATTCAATCAACCGATTGATTCCAACGAAATTTTCTTATTTTCTTTAAGTATATTTAATTTTATGAAATAAAAATATTTTATGATTCATATAATAAATGTCTACACCAAATGATAGTATATCAAGATTATAAATAATATATCTAAAGATAAATTAATTATTTTTACTTTATGCATATTAATAAAAAATAACATTGTAATTTTCAAAAAATTAAGATTAATTGATTGATTATGCAATTTAAAGTTATATTTTTAGCGTTCAATTTTTTTAAAGGCACAAATATAAAGACCGAGATTCTAAAACTTTTGTCATATTTTGAATAGAGATTTTATAAATATAAAGATTGAGATTTTAATGTTGTTCATTGTTTCTAAGAAAAAAATAAAAATAAAAACTTACACACTTAATAAATCTTCGTTGGATTTTTTAAATAATAAAATGAACTAAATCATTTAATGTTGTATAATTTTTAAGGAAATAAATAAGAAAAATAATAAAATTTACTATTTATAGGTTGCATTAAATTCTGACATATTTTTTTGCTATTTTTGGTAAATGAATCATATCTTCTTAAAGTTCTAACAAATAATATTTTCGGATAAATAAACTCTGTCTAGCGGAACAAAAAATGCAAAAGTTCTGTAAGTTGTATATCTGCCAAAGTCTTCACCTCTACCTTCTACCAACAGCTATTTTGAGATCCCTTATGCTCATTGGGTTACATCATCACAGTAAAATGACTGCAGCTTAGACTATTGTTCTTTCAAGAGTTTAAGACAATGCATTTGAACAAGCATACTGTATCTTACAACCGAATCACACATCCATACAAGTGATAAAAGCACAACAAATGATATTATAAAGTAATATACAACCCAATCACACGTCAATGCAAGTGATGATATTATAAAGTTCGAAGACTCGGGACAGCACTTCTCCAGCAGATGAGCTAGATCAATGACGTTGAATCAACACACACAAACCCAAATATAGGAGCCAAATAAACACTATGTAACCATATATAGCCATAGAGTGACAGACATAATATCATACTATTAACATTTATGCAAGTTGAGTATTCAGAATCGACGAAAACAAAAAGAAGCAATATGAACAACATCACTACTTAACGGGTTCACATTCATCATCATCATCATCCTCAACATCCCATGTCAGCTCCTCCTCGTCTTCTTTCTCGGCAGAATTCAACCTCTTATGTAAATCAACCGATTTACTCATCGTGTTCCCGACCTCACTCCCAATATCTTCAATCTCATCCCACCCGAGATCATCCTCGGCGTGTGATGATTGTTGGCTTGAAATAATCGAAATATCACTCCCGAGTTTCCCATCCGACAACTCCTTCTCATTGTCTATTAATTTCTTCCTTAAATTCTCCTCATCGCTCTTTGTACCTGAACTGCCAACACCCACAATCTCCCGGTTTTCAACTTCCGCATTATCCACCACTTTTCCTTTCGCCAGGCTATCTTTCGAATTACAATCACCATTTTCATTGTTGCGATTACCATCATCATGATCATTATCATCATCAAAATCCCAGCTTAATTCTTCTTCTTCCTCGCGAAGAATAGCTTTTTTCACAATCCTAGCCCGCTCCTCCTCTGCCTTAACTAAATTATCAGCCCTATAGAAGTACCTACACCAAAATGTCTCCTCATCAACTTTCAGGGGCACGATTTCATTATAGATCTCCATGATAATCCCATTTTCCTTAACTAGATGCTCGATTTCCCCCCTTTTGTCCTCCATCTGAAAACCCGTTCTCCACTCAAGATAACCATTTGCCTCAACTTCATCACAGTAAGTACGAATGTCACATTGCAAAGCACGAATCATAGCCTCCATCCTGTTGTACGGCTTAGCTTCCCTAGTAGAATTTAACAAGTCTCTCTCGCCCTCAACCGACTGGGCGCTAGTGGGGTCATCAAAGTTCAAATCTTTACCAATAATCTCCGAGACGGTGGACCCCACGTTGTCGATGGCCTGTCCCACCGCCTCGAGGGACTCCTGGGCGATGGCGGCGCCGGACTCGAGACGGGCCGGGAGGTCCTGGACGACTCGGCTAGCGGCCTGGCGTATGACAGACGTCTCCTTCTTAAGGCCGGTGCTGAATTCTTGAAAATCTTTGTAGTAGTGGTCGATCAGGGTCTCGGATTTGGAGGCCAGGGTTTGGAAGAGGGTCGATCCGAATGCCCATGAGGAAGAAGGAGTTTGGGGATTTTGTGGGGCGGCGGGGATAGACGCCGGAGAGTCGGGGACGGCGGCGTGGCTAGGGTCCGAGAAGGCCGATCTGAAGAAGTCCATCGGGTGGAGACGAGAGCAATGAATGATTCTGAATTGATAGAGGTGATATGTGTATTGTGTGATTAGATTATCAGCGATTTGGAGATTTTGGGTTGGAAAGGCGGTGGATGTATCGTATGCACTGGCATCAGATGCACCCACCACGGCTTTAGGTTTATGGTAATAAATTCGTGTAAGTCACATTACTCACACCCAATCTCTAGTCGACGGTGTATATATTGGAAAAATTCATTATAAGTCCCAAATTTTTATAATTCTATTTCTTTCTCAATAAAAAGTCTATATTTTAAGTTATTCTTAATTTATAACTTACACTTTTAATTAAATTCTTATTGTAAAGTCTAATTAATTTTATTTTTTGACATAAATATGTGAACCAACTATTATGTGAACAAAATTATTATTATTATTATTATTATTATTATTATTTTATATTTTACAGATTTATATTAAAAAAATAATAAATATCTTTAGTAAAATTAGATTAATAAGAAAATGAAATTATATAAATTACAATTATGCAACAATTTTATAATGATTATTTAAAAAAAAAGGTAATTCAAAAAATGTAGATGAAATATTATTTTTATTAATGATATAAATATGTAATAAACTAAAAAATAATATTTAAATAGTATTGCTTTCATTTTAGCTTTTTAGGGTGTTGATATCCGACTTGATTACAAAATTGAAGACGGAGATTAATTATTTTATTGAAGAAATAATCTCTTAAGACAAGTCGGTATTAATTAGAATTAATTACCGACTTCCGAAGAATTACCGACTTCCGAAGATCTTCAAAGGAACCGACATTTGCAACAAATGCAAGTAAACCGACTTCAGTTCAAACCGACTTCAGTTCAACAAATATTATGACGAAGATAAATCAAGTTTCCTCTATCCAAACCGACTATCGCAAAGTCCAAATATCCCAACAGAAAACAAAGCTGGAAGCATTTGATTGGACCAGCAAAACGAAAAAGCAATCATTGATGTTTCCCACCGCTTAAAGTAAAGCAGCTCAACATTAAATGTGTCTTTATCCATTTCGAGCAAGAAGACAAGAATTACCGTACTATAAATAGCAGAATTTATGATAGTACGAGGATCTTTTTTTCGAACACATGATACAGGGTCTTGTAATGATCTCGGTTACACAACAAAAACCGACTCCTGTATTCTAGTGACAATATCAAATAAAATCACATTTTACAATTATCTCTGTCAGTTTACATCAGCTGTATTTAATTTAAAGTTGTTAATTCTTGACAACAACAGTTTGGCGCTAGAGGAAGGGCGCTCGAACCTTCGATTGGTTGATTGTCTGAGTATACAACATATAATAAGTATGTCAAATTCTGGGCGAAATGAACGAAATCCAGATACTGGAATCAATCGTCACCCAACTCATACAACTGGAAATTCTGCCGTGCCATCTACATCAATTGATTACTCCGTTCTGTTTCAAGATCCAGAGTTCTTGAAAAATTTAACTGATTTTATGGCACGAACAAGAATAGAACCAACCGCAGCAGTTAATCCTCAAAGTCATTCTACACCAGCTCTCCAAAGAAATGATATTCCTGCTGCGTCACATGCAACTTCTCATCCACGCACACATGAATCACAACAAGACGTTACAACTCGAAATCGTGGAGTAGTTCCTGTACAAACTCATATTCCAGAAGCAGTTCGATCAGAAGCTACTGCCGAAATCCATTCTGGACGTCAACCACGACAACCAGCTCCTTCTTTGCCAGAGACATCACAACATAATCAACCGTCTGATTCACGGCGTACTCTTGAACAAAATCATATTCGTCGTAAGCAAAATGAGCTACGTCGTCTAATTGAAAGAAATCGTTTAAGACGTGAATCAGAGGAGCTGGAAATGTTAAGAAAAAAAATTGTTGAACTAGAAACTCGACAAAATGATCATGAGGAATCACGACGACAAATTGCAACAATGGAAGGGACGTATCAAGAAGTTGAGACTCCTTTAGAGCCCCTCATTTGACCAGGGAGCCTCTTCCAACCTAGGTAAAGGTTCCACAGATCGGTTTATATGATGGAACTTCCGATCCTGATGCTCATCTTGGCCAATATACTTCATGGATGGATCTTCATGGGGCAACCGAAGCACTCAGATGTCGGATGTTTTCATTAACTTTGGGACCTCGAGCCCAAAAGTGGTACCATTCCTTACCTCGGTGTTCAATCTCCACATGGCAACAATTGAGAACGGTTTTTCGATCTCATTTTATCGGGGCCCGAGTTTCTCTAATTCCCAAAGAATCAATTGCAAATATTGTGCAAAAAGACGATGAGAGTGTAAAGGACTATATTACTCGGTTTAATGAACGCATACAAAATATGGAACAATGTCATCCTGAAACGTTGTTAGTCACTGCCATAGCTGGATTGAAGCCAAATTCATTGTTCCGTTGGAGTATCTGTCAGAATAAACCGACCTCGTTTCAAGATTTCTTGGCCCGAGCTCAACAACATATTATAGCTGAGGAATCAATGTCGGTTCCAAATATCAACTTTTCTTCACCTAAGTCGGATGTCGGACAAGAGTCAAAGAAGAAGAAAAATAAATTCTTTAAACCCAATAAGTCTCGATTTGGGAATCCTAAGATGCCCGAGGTGCAAGAAGCTAGAACCAAATATCTTAATGAAATCAAATCCAGCTATCAGGCGGTTTTCTCGGCAGGAGCAACAACCATATTTGAGGAATTGAAAGGGAAAGGAATTCTTCCTGACCCTCGACCTGTGCGAACTCCTGAAGAAAGACTTGATAAGACAAGATATTGTTCATATCACAAGTCGGCGGGTCATAATACTGACGAATGTCTGGGTTTACTTTCCGCCTTATTACGTCTTATTGGACACCCTCAAGTCCAAAAGTTTGCCAAAAATGTTGATTATAAACGAAAGGGAAGATTGTTAGATTTACCAGATGACGATGAAGACGAGGAACGTCCAGTTAATCCGAAACGGGTGAGGCCAAGTGATAAAGAAGTGTTCATGATGAACTCAGAAGAAAATAATTCATTGAAAAATACTGAAATGATGTACCGAGGAGGATACTATAATCCTGACAATTCTCACCATGTAACTCGGGTCAATAACAGTAGCAATACGTCGTTTGAATCACGGCGGCAGGTGAAGGTGTATGCTCGAAAGGCTTATAATTCGGGTAAAACTGTTTTGACAACCGACCTCCGAGATAAGATTAATGCTCGAAATAATTGTCCCATAACATTCAACGTGGATGATGCTAGTTACTTCGCTCACCCGCATGCCGATCCCCTAGTAATAACGGCACCCATTTGTGGTATATCGGTACACCGCATACTAGTGGATACAGGGGCGTATCAAGCATCTTAATGTTACGTACATTTGAACAAATGGGAATTGATCCGGCCGAGTTGAAACCCTGCAAAGATCAAGTACAAGGCTTTAATGGCACAATTACATCGACCCTTGGTGAAATTACTATGCCAATTCGGTTTGGAATCCCTGGACAAGCTTCTAAAGTCATTATGGAAACATTTAAGGTGATGGATCTTAAAAATCAATATAATGCCATTATTGGAAGGACAGCTCTATACAAACTTCGTGCAGCTGTCTCGATCTTTCATTATGCTTTGAAATTTCCTACCAACCATGGAGAAGGAACTCATTATGGAGACCAATATGAAGCTCGTGGGATGGTATGGGTTAAGCCTTGGCATGAATCATGTGAACCAATGCATATGATGGAGAATATCGAGAAAAAACAAGAAGATTCAACTCTCGTCAACTCGGAGTCACACACTACCGAGATGGAACTTGACCCAACAAAATCAAATAATGGTCTGACTTGTGATCATGGGAAATGTCCAGGAAAAGAATCAATCAAAGAAGAAGATGAACTTGATCCTCGAACTCAATTCAAGGAAAAGAATAAACTTGATCGAGCAGAACCATCTGAAGATATTGAGACAATTTATGTTGATGATCCGATTTGTAAAAAGCCACTGCAAATTGGGACCAGTCTCCAAGAACCAATACACACTCGGCTCATACAATTCCTCAAGGCGAACTCCGATGTATTTGCTTGGAAACATGAAGATATGAAAGGAATTAATCCGAAGGTTGCTTCTCACCAACTAAATCTGGATCCAACGATCAAACCAATGGTCCAAAAGCGGCGCAAACTCGGTTCTGATCGACAAAAGGCTCTTGAAGAAGAAGTTCGAAAGTTGATCGATAATAAGTTCATTCAGGAAACAAAATATCCGACTTGGGTATCAAATCCTGTTTTGGTGAAGAAGAGTTCCGGTGCATGACGACTCTGCATTGATTTTTCCGACTTAAATAAAGCCTGTCCCAAAGACAGTTATCCATTACCACATATCGATTACATGGTAGATGCCACTGCTGGACATGAATTAATGAGTTTCATGGACGCGTATTCGGGATATAATCAAATTCCCATGGATCCTGAAGAAGCAGAGCATACATCTTTTTATTCGGCTCGAGGATTATACTGTTATACTATGATGCCGTTCGGTTTGAAAAATGCTGGGGCCACATATCAAAGATTGGTTAACAAAATGTTTGCCAAGCTTATTGGGTATACTATGGAAGTTTATGTGGATGACATGTTAGTTAAGTCGGTTCGTGCGGTCGATCACATTAATCACTTGCAAGAGATGTTCAACATCTTAAGAGAGTATTCTATGGTATTAAATCCGAAGAAGTGCACTTTTGGTGTCGGCTCTGGTAAATTCTTGGGATATATTGTGACTCAACGAGGTATCGAAGCAAATCCCTTGAAGATAAAGGCCATTATGGATCTAACGCCTCCCACGTCGGTTAAAAATGTCCAAGCTCTTACCGGCCGACTTGCTGCTTTAAATCGGTTTATATCGAAATCAACAGACCAATGCAGACCCTTTTTCGAATCCATAAAGAAAGGAAAACGTTTTGAGTGGACCAAAGAATGTCAA